CAGCTCTTCCCCCTTGCAGGGCCTCCATCCAGCCCCTCCACCACCTCCATGGGCTCCCAGAAATCCACAGAGAGCATCGCTGGCTCCAGGTGACACTGTGGGATGGGGGGGATGCAAGGGACCAAAAATGGCATGTTGTGGGGAGAGGGGAACGGTACCACTTTTTGAGTGCTGCTGGTCCAATGTCCTCTGCCAGCTCCTGCAGCATAAGTGGGGGGTTTGGTGCTCCAGCCCCTTCCCTGCAGCAGGCTGGAGTCCAGCTGCCCTTTTGGAATTTTCCCCCACCCTGTTACCTTGCCTGTTGCCCCACAGGTTTAGCCTGAGCAGGCGCAGGGGTCCCAGCCTGGTGCTGCGCCCACAGTGCCTCAGCCCGGAAAGCGAGCGCTCCAGCAACCATGCGATCCATGACTACCTCCCACTGGTAAGGACCCCATCCCTGTCCCCATCCCAGTCCTCATCCCCATCCCACCGGGGGCACCTTCCCTGCTGGGTGCCAGCAAAGCTGCCCAGGTTACACCCAGCAGCACCAACAGCAGAAGATGCAAACCTGGTAGGTGCCTGCTCAGCCTTGCTGCATCCTTGAATGTCTCTGAGGATCTTGGCTGGCATTTTGGGGGGCACTAGATTGTCCCTGTGCCCCAGGACACTCCTGCAGCCCTGCCTCCCCCTTGCAGGTGCAGCTTCAACAAGCCAGGGGGCCATTCCAGCTCACCGAGAGCTTCTCCGAAGTGGTGCAGATCCCTCTGGACCGCCTGCGCCGGGCCTCCCCCTACGCCTCCCACCGTGCCAGCCTCAGCCCCGTGTCCCCAAGGGCCAGGAGTAGCCCCGAGGCAGGGCCTGCTGGCGAGGAGGGCGAGGAGCTCACCACAGACCCTCAGCCCAGCTCGCCCCCATCCCGGAGTACTTGCTCCGAGGTGCCCAGCGCAGCCGTGTGGGCACAGGCGGACAGTGGGCACGGCTCTGAGTCCGACACCTGCCCCCACTCAGCTGCCCCCTCCGAGGCTGGTGTGAGCTGTCAGGACATGGGGCTGGAGGACCTGGAGAGTGCCAGCTGGGCCACAGCAGTGGCCTTGGCATGGCTGGAGCACCGCTGTGCTGGATTCTTTGAGGAGTGGGAGCTGGTGGCGGCCAAGGCGGACGCGTGGCTGCAGGCACAGCAGCTGCCCGAGGGGGTGGACGTGGGCTGCCTCAAAGGGGCAGCCAGGCACTTGTTCCTGCTGCTGCGTCACTGGGACGAGAACATCAAGCTGAACATGCTGTGCTACAACCCCAACAACGTCTGACAGCCGCCCGAGGGGCCAATAAAGACACCTGGCTCCAAGCCACCTGCACTGGCGTCTCTCTTGTGGACAGCGAGTAGTTGGCTCTATTCAGGCCACACCAGGGCTCACCAGAATCCTGGGGGGGGGGTCACCACCTTCCCAGCCATCTACCATGGGAGGGAGCAGACAGGGGAACAGGAAAAGTCCTGGAGGGGTCCCTGGGCTCCATCAAGGCAATTCATACCTTGAGGCAAAGCTATTCTGCAGATCCTCTGTTTTAACCCCACCCCAGAGGCTGCTTGCCTGCCCTGGGCACCCCTCTCCCTGGGCTGCAGAGGGAGTGCCCATGGCCCCAGCAGCTGTTCTGCCTTCCCCTAGGTGTTCTGACACTGTCACAGCACAAGGACACTGGGGAAGGGCACATAAAAGCCCCCTTTATTGTGGAAGTCCTGCCTTTTGGGGGTCCCCACACCACACCCCTTTGCACAGTTCAAGGGCTTGTGGCTCTCCTGGGATGGCTGTGAGCAGCCTGAGAGCTGGGTGGGGAAAGAGCAGGCAGAATTGGCAGTCCCAGAGGCCAGTTCCCACTGTCTGGCCTTCCACAATCTCACTGGGCTTTCTTGGATGTGGCTGTGCGTTTCCTGCTCGGTGTGGGGGTGTGTGACACTGGCACGGGGGCCGTGCCATACCAGAGTTGGAGCAGGATGAGTCCATGGCAGATGTGGAGGGAGAGGGAGCTGCAGACTGTGGAGGGATAGGTGTTCCAGCAGAGCTCGATCACACCCAGGAGCAGCACCCTGCAGCAGAAAAAGCTAGGGGTCTGCATGGGGGACACATATGAGCCCCCCTTGCTCCCAGACCCCCAGCAGCTGGGTGCTCCCCCTCTCTGGCAGCACATACTTGGGCATGTGGGCGAGCTTGGTGGTTGGGGTGCACCAGAGTAAGTAGGGCAGTGTGTGGAAATACCAGACGTAAAACTGGTAGTGCAGGGAGCGGCTGCAGCAGATACCCAGGAAGTTGGAGGAGAAGAGGATGAAGACAATCTGTGCACAGCCATTAAGGAGGCAAACATGGGAGGATAGAGGTGTGATCCCACAACAGTTCCCCAGCCATCCAGCACAGCTCCTTCCTCCAGGACAGGCTGGTCCTGGCAGCACTGCAGGACCTGGAGCATGACCAAGGTCCTCCCTGCCTTCTCCCTGCCCTTGCTGCCCACCCTGTCAAAGGATATCATTGACCGTCAAGGGAGGGGATGGGGGTTTTCTTTTGGCAGGGTCCTTCAGCAAAGTCAGGATGCTCTCTTTGGAACTGAGGGAGAAGCACAAACATCAATCTCAGCTGCTGAAAGTCTCTTCCACCCCAACCCTCCCCTGTAAGCCACGATGCCTGGGCAGCATGGTCCCCAAAACAGAAGAGTAACACCCCCCCATTCCCACCTGCAACTCCAGACTGGAGCATTGTGGGGGCAGGTGAAACAGGGATCTGTATCCTGTATTATGGGGGCTGGCAGAGACCAGCACCCAAGGGAACCCCAGGTCTCACCTGTGCCACCGGTGCAGTGCAAAGAGCCCCAGGCCAGCCAGGTGAGCCAGGAGCAGTGCGGCATGGAAAGCCCGATTCTGGAAAACCTCTTCTGGGAGGAAGCGCCAGTTCACTGTCCATTTGAACTGAAACTGGCGGCCCAGGTCGAAGGAGCGGGTCAGGTACCCTATAGGGTTCACCAGGAGGAAGGGCAGCCCCAGAACCACCTGCCAGGGACACACCAGCACCATGGCAGCAGCCGTATGCCAGGTCTGTCACCCTGTCACCTCCTCAGTGCCATGTGGGGCGACAGGGACACTCAGCCAAAGATGAAAGCCCCATGAATTAGATTATTTATCAACCCCCAGCTTGCTGTGTGGGGCCACCACAGGTGCTGATGCCACTGTACTCAACCATGGCTCTCCAGCCCGGTAGGATGCTGTGACACAGGCAGGCAGCCCACTATTCCTTGCTCCTGCAGCCACTGCAAGCAGGGACCCACCTGGAGCAGGGCACAGATGCAGAGCTTGGGGATACAGCCCAGGAGACCGAAGCGCTGCAGGAGGAGGAAGAGGAGTCCAGGTGCGAAGAGCAGGATGTTCATCTTCACAGACACAGCCAGGCTGAGTGGGAAGCTGTGTTACCACTGCAGACCCCACATGGGAGCCTGGGCAGCCCCCGAGCCCAGCGCAGCCTCCTCCCCAGGGCCCAGCTGGCTCAGGCCCCCAGCACGCCATGGAGAGCAGCCCCCAGCCCCTCACCTGAAGAGGAGGCAGCCCCAGGACCAGTGCTCCTCCAGGAAGAGGTTGATGGCGAGGAAGAGGATGGCCATGGCCACGGGGTCATTGAAGAGCCGCAGCACAAAGATGGAGTGGATGCGGTACGAGGCACAGCACATGAAGAAGAAAACGTATGGGGGTACCTTGCAGAGGGCAGAGACACACAAGGGTCAGCAGCCTGTCACCGAGCCCCTATGTCTGAGCCCCTCCAAACCTGAGACCCCTGCCCGTGTTGCTGGGGTGAAGACTCAGCAGTGCAGGGCAGGCTCTGAGGTGGCTGGCACAGGCCCTGGCCCCAGGGTACCTTGTTGGTTCGGCAGTAGATGCGGAAGACAAGGAGGAGGTTAAGCAGGTAGAGGGCAGCGAAGAGATACTGTGCCAGGCGGATGTTGGAGCCGCGGCCCGTAGCATGGTACAGGCCCAGGAAGATGTAAACGAAGCCAGCGGGGTAACTGTGGGGAGACAGGAGTGAGGGGCCGGGCCCTGCGGCCCCTCCTGGGAGCCGCCGGTCACAGGGAGCTGGGTGTCCCTGTCACTCACACCAGCGGCCCTGTGTCACCCTTCAGCTGGGTGTAGTCCAGGGTCCCGTTGGCGAAACCCTCCACCTCCTGCATGTAGGCCTTCCAGTCGATCTCAGTGTCTGTGGGGATGGGGGGGGGTTCAGGTGGGGCAAGAGGGGCCAAGGAGCACTGCAGAGGGTGTGGGGGCTCACCTACCTCCCGACCCGCCAGCCTGGCCCTGTGCCTCCATGCCATGCTGCCAGCCCAGGCTCTGCCCCCCTGGCCCCAGCCCCATCCAGGGCCGCAAGCTGACCCCTGTGTGTGTTGCTGGACTCCCAGCCCAACCCTGCATCCCTCCCATCCCATCCAGAGCCCCCAGCCCACCCCTGTGTGTGTTGCTGGGCCCATCCAGGACCCCCAACCCAACCCTGCATCCTCCTCTGTCCCCTCCAGGACACCCATCCCATCCCATCCCATCCCATCCCACCCCGTCCCATCCCACCCCGTCCCATCCCATCCCATCCCATCCCATCCCATCCCATCCCATCCCATCCCTCCATCCTCCTCCCATCCCTTCTAAAGCCCCCGGCCCCATACAGGCCCTCCATCCTGCCCCTGTGGCCACCCCAGCACCGTTCAGGACCCGCAATCCACCTCTGCATCCCCCCCCGTCCCACCCAGGAGCCCCAGCCCGCCCCCGCCCCCCTGCCGGGGGATGCTGTCCCCCGCCAGGGCCGGAGCGGCCCTGTCCCCCCGCCCGCGGGATCCCCGCCCCCCGCGCTGCCCCAGGGCCAGCCCCCCCTCGCCGCCCCCGTCGGGCCGAGCTGTCACTGTCACTGTCCCCGCACCGCCCCGCGCTGTCCCGGACCGGCCCCGCCACCCCCGCGGGGGCAGCGCCACGCCGGGCTGGGCCGGGCCGCGGCACTCACAGGGCACCCTGCGGATGACCCAGAGGTTGACACCGCCCTCGGCCAGGCAGAGGCAGGCGGCCACCAGCGGGGTGTAGCGGGGCTCCAGCAGCGCCGCCCGCCGCTCCCTCCATGCCCGCCGCAGCGCCGCGGCCCCCCGACCTGCCGCCATGCCGCTCCCTGTTTCCGCCCGGAGCGCTCAGCGCGGCGCACCCGGCGCGGGCCGGAAGCCGCACGTGGGGGCGCGGGTGGCACGTGGCGCCCGGTGCTCCCGCCCCGCTCCCGGGCATGGAGCGGCGGCGGCGCGCGCCCGCCGCCAACCCCCGGTACGGCCGGCGCCGCTTCTGGGACGCTCTGTACCAGCGGGAGGGCGCCGAGACCCGCGAGTGGCTGGGGGGGCTCTCCCGCTTCCTCCCGCAGCTGGAGCCCGAGCTGCGCCCCGGTGACCGTATCCTCGTGCTCGGTACGTGCCCCATGCCCGGCGTGCCCGGTGGAGGGCGGGCAGAGCGCGGGGTCCCGCCGGTCGATGCGCTGGCGCTGGCCGCCAGGGGGCGGTGCGTCACCGAGCCGGTAGCGGGAGCTGCGTCCGGCCCGGCCCGGCGGGGCCGGGGGTGCGGGCGGGCGGCAGGGCGGGTATAACCGCCCCGTAATCCCACCTGCGGGCTGATCCGCTGCCGGGCCGACGGGATTAGGCGGGTGTAATCACCGATCCTGTTAGCGGATCAGCCGCTGCCAGCTGTGCTTAATAGCTCCCAAATCCGCGCCCCCCCGGGATCCCCCCAGTCACCCCGTGGAGCGGCCGAGCCTCGGCGGAGCGGCTCTGAGAGGAGGGTATGGGAAGGGGCCTCTCCCAGTGTTCTGCTGGACAGGGTGCTGTTCCCTGAGACAGCAGTTCCTCCATCCCTCTGTCCGTCCGTCCCGGTTAAACCCCCCCTCCGAAGCTGCACGCTCCCCTACTTTCCCACTTGGGAATTTCTCGGCAGCTTCTTAGAGGACACAGCCGACTCCTGCCCTCTAGCACTACTGGGGGGAGGACTGGGGATACCCCCTGCCCCCTCCCTGCCTCCAGCCTCTCCATGTATCCCACCTCGAGGTGTGGGGATCCAGTGTGTGAGGCTGCCCTGGGACAGGAGCCCAAAGCACCCATCTTAAGGGACGAGGGTTATTAATAAATATCCCAGCACTCACTAACTGGCATCAAAGCAATGACCTGCCCCTCTCCAGCAGCCCCAGCCCACCCACACCCTTCCCTGGGTCCAGAGGAATAGAGTTGGGGTGCCAGCCCCCCCCCCCCCCCACCATGGGCATCCCGAGCCCCGTGGTGAGCTATGCCCCACACAGGCTGTGGCAACAGCGCCCTGAGCCACGACCTGCACGAGCTGGGCTACACCGACGTCACCAGCATTGACTTCTCCCCCGCCTGCATCGCTGCCATGCGCGCCCGCTGTGCCCGCTGCTGCCCCGGCCTGCGCTGGGCTGTCATGGACATCCGCGCCCTCGCCTTCCCAGATGCCTCCTTCGACGTGGTGCTGGAGAAGGGCACTCTCGACGTGCTCGTGGTGGAGGAAACCGACCCCTGGGATGTCTCTCCCCAGGCAGCTGCCTCGATGCGCCGGGTGCTGGCGGAGGTACGGGCTGGGGGGAGCTGAGCAGAGGGGCAGAGGGTGGACCCCCACCCCTCTTTGGGGTGGGGGAAGGTGCAGAGTGCCTGCTCACATCCCTACTTCCCTGTGGGTGCCCCAGCCAGTGGTTCTGCCCTGCCATTTGGTGCTGCCCCCTCAGCTATGCTGCAGGGGGACACCTGGGGGGCTACCAGCACCCCTGGGGGTGGGAGACCCCCACTCTCATCCCCCAGCACCTCCTCTGCAGGGAGGTGGATGGAGCAGGTTGTGTCCCTGGGTCCTGTTGAGGGACTGGATAGCCCCTGTCTTTATTTGCACCCTAAGTATGAAGAGTTGGCAGGAAAAATGAGCCCCATCCAAGTGTGGGTGGCAGCAGGGGACCTGGGGGAACATGCCGAGGTGGCCCTGCCTGCCCAGGGCAAGGTGATGCCTGCCCAGGGCAAGGTGACGACTGTGGGGCTGTGACAAGCTCTCACCCCGCCCCAGCTTCGATCTCCTTAGCCGGGGTCCCCATCATCTGGTCTGGGGTTGCCATGGCAACTCCAGTCAGCATCGACAGGGCCATGGTGTTGCCACGGGGACAGGCGATGCCTCGGGGCTCCTGTTAATTGGCGGTGGTGGAGACAGGGACCGGATTGAACCTGCCCTGGCACGGGGGTGCAGGTCCTGACAACCTCCCCTCCCCTGCGGGAGGAACTGCCAGGATAATTAATTGCTGTGCCTGCCTGGCACCCTGGGGTGCAGACACGGGGTGCTGGGAGGGTGCTCATGGCTGTTGACACCCCCTCATCCTCTCTTGCCCCACTGAGCCTGGGAGGGAGTGGGACCCCCAGCAGGGCAACAGGGCTGTGCTCATCATCCGTGCCCTGCACTCCCTGCCAGCTCTGCTGCCTGTCCTTGTCATTTTGCCAAATGGCAGGGATTTAATTTTCCCTTTTTTTTTCCCCTTTTTAATCCCCTGCTCAATCCCTGCCCTCCCCCAGCATTGCTGGGTACCAGCCTCCACCCGCGGCCGGTCCCTGCTGTCCTCATCCCCAGGGGGATTCGCTGGGTGTTCCCACTTGCTTGCTGCTTTGGAGGTCCCTTCAGAGGGGTCTGGCCAGGGCATCTCCCCTCCCGCCCCCATCCCGTTTCTTGTGGGAGGTTCACAGCATCTGTCTTGCTCTTGCTCTCCCTGGGGAGGGGACATAAGAACCTGAAAATCCACCCTGCCTGTGGGGAGTCCCCAGGGATACCCCATCCCGGCAATCCGGGGGCAGCAAGTGTGGCGGGCACCGGAGCGGGGAGCAGCCCCCGCAGCCCCCTTTCCCACCCCCAGGCTCTGGCTGGCGGATGGAAAGGTTTCCTGTTCCCGTCTCTAAGCAACGGCCGTTATTGCTCTATTAACGAGGGATGGGATGCGGACATGCGGGATGCCTTGCTCGGCTCCAGCCGGAGATCCCTGTCTACCCCCAGCCCCGGGGACCCCTCCCTGCTCATCGGTTGGGAAGCTCTGGGGTCTTCCCAGGGCAGATTTTCAGGCACTTCCCAGGAGGGATGCTGAGCTGGGTGCCCGGGGAGGGATGCAGGGACCTGCCTTCCCCTTTTCCTGGTCAAAACCACTAAGGTTTAGTACAAAATCCACTAATGCAGCAGGGGAGGACACACAGGCTGCCTGTCCCCTCTGTTCCTGGCCCCAGCCAGTGCTGAGCTGTGGAGCTTCCCAGCAGGATTAAACCAGAGCTTGGGAAACCCCCCACTTGGCCCCCAGCCCTCTCCCTGCAGCGGTGACTCTCTGCCCTTGCTGGGGGGGCCTGGGGGTGTCCCCGCCTGGGGCAGGGTGGCCAGGGGGGGACCTGGCCACCCGCCCGCCTAGGGCAGTGCCTTTGCATGCAAAGCACGCAGGCGCTGGCCGTGAAAGCCTTTTGACATTGGATAAAGCCAAGCAAGAAAATTGATGTTCTTTTCCATCCTGTTAGCGGGGCTTAATTCCAGCAGGGAGAAAATGGTGATTAAAAGGGTTGAATCCTTTCCCATCAAACACCCCTTGCCCTCCCCCATTAGATTCTGGGTATTGGCAGGGGGTGGTACTGGGTGCCACAGAAAGTGGTGGGTGGGATGGGCATCCCATGCTGTGCTGAGGGGCCCCTGTGCCCAGGAGGGCAAAGCTTTTCCCCATGACAGGGTTGGGTTTCCATGCTGTCTTCTGTGGGTGGGGGTGAAGAGTTTTGGGGTGTGTTCCTTATTACCACCAAGCTGTGGGTGATCTGGGGGAAGGTCAGAACTGGGGGTGTGTCTCTTGGAGGGTCAAGGTTAAGATAGTGGATTTTGGGGTGCAATGGGAGAGTTTTGGGGGGGGATCTTTAGCAGATGGTGCTGGGGATCCCTGGTAATGGAGCCAAAGGGGTAAACCTCACTGTGTCCCCACACCCCATCCTGGGGGTTCTCTTGCTGCAGGTGAGCCGGGTGCTGCGCCCAGGGGGCTGTTTCCTCTCCATCACCTTCGCCCAGCCCCACTTCCGCAAGCCCCACTATGCCCAGGAGGCCTTTGGCTGGTCCCTGCGCCACACTGCCTGTGGGGACGGGGACGCCGGCGCCTTCCACTACTTCCTCTACATCATGCGCAAGGGGCAGCCTCTGGACCCCCGTGATGTGGCCTTGGGGCGCCGGCTGCACCAGCCCCTCCCGCCCCCTGTCCTGCCGCCGCCCCCTGCCCCCCCGGACGACGACGAGGACTACCTCCTTGCCATCCAGCTGTGACCCAGGGGGGATTCTCCGAGCTTTCCCCACCCAACAAAGCCTTAAGCTGCTCCATCTTCACGGGCAGGGGATGGGGAAGCAGTGTATCCCCCCAAAAAAGCTGCCCAGTGAGTGAGTAATGGGGGGATACTTGGCCTCCTCCCAGGGGGCAACGGGATGCTCCAGTGATGCTGTGCTCCCTCCCTGGCCTTTCCTTGCCTGGCTGGAGAGCAGCCAGGACTCCGGGCTTTGCGGCCGGTAATGAAACCAAATCGGGTTTAATTCCACCCATCCATCTTGCGGGGAGTGGCTCCCTACCCCCCCGTCTCTTCCCCTTGGCACAGGCAGCTGGGCTAAGGGCAGAATGAGGATGCTGGCACTGGGTGCAGGGGACAGGATGGGGGGTACCCACTGCTCCAGCCCCCCACCCCATCGTGCACCAGGACCCCTGCCCCAGCCTCCTTGGCTATGGGGGTATGCAAGGACACCGTGTCCTTGTCACCCCCAGCCAGGTGGTGGGGGGTCCAGGCTGGGATGTGCCAGCATGGGGCAGGGAGCACCACAGGGCAGGCAGGGTGGCACATCTGCCCCTGTACCCCTCCATCCCCACTCTTTGGCTGTGGTGACAACCCCGGTGTGCTGCACACGCCTGGCCCACATCTGCCAGTGCCTTGGGGCCAGCAGTGCAGTGACAGGCATGTGCCAGGGCTGGTGACAGGCGTGCCACCGCGTGCTGGCAGGGCTGGCTGCACACGGGTACCGGCATGGCAGGTGTAGGTGCTACCGGGGTGTCACCAGGGGCTCTCTGGCTACCAGCGCTCCCTGAGGGGGGCACAGAGGGGACCCCTCCTCGGCAGGGCAGTGGTGACAGACCACAGAGGCGCAAGCTGCTGGGCTGCTGTTTCTGCAGAAAGGTGTAAGTGCCTCGGCTGGTGGCTCCCCCCGCACCAGGAAACAGCAAAGCGCTCTGGGGTCAACACCCCACCACTCCCACCGTGGCACCCCACCCCGCAGGCACCCCGAAAACCAGCTGGCAACACAGAGGGACAAAAAGGAGCAGGAAGCTGCCGGCCTCACCTCAGTACATGAATGTATTTTATTCATCGCATTTTGTTCACCAGTACAGTGAAAAATGGCATTTAAATTTACAATGGATCGTTTGTAGAACATCATGACACAAGTATCTTTTTTTTTCTTTTTTTTTTTTTTTTTTTTTTTTTTGAGTTTTTTTTCTCAGTTTTTTTGTTTGGTAATTTTTTGTTGTGTGGTTTGGTTTTTTTTTTTTTGCGTCGTTGTCTCCATAAATGCCACTCGTAGGTTATTGAAAAAGATGATGAGTTTCTCATGCACATCAGAACCCCCCGAGAAGCTTCTTAAAAAATAAAATTAAATTAAAGTACAAAATTAAAAACAACGACTCAGGACAGTCCCTGCCCTCCCCACTTCCCCCCAGGCCCCACCACCCTCAAGCAAGGGGCAGTGCTGGGACTCCCTGGCACCTGCAGCCAGCCCCGGTGGGCTCTGCCCTGGTGCTGCCTGGAGGGGACTGCAGCAGCTGGTGGTGCTGCCAAACCCTCTGGTGGCTCCTGCTGCTGGCAGGGGGTCAAGCTAGGGGTCCCTGCTCCCCTCCCTGCTCCTTTGGCTTTCCTCGTGCTCCCTCCATCACTCTGGCCCCCCATCTATTTCTTGCCCTCGGTTTTTTCTTCTTTTTTTGTCTTTTTTTTTCTTATGGAAAAAAATATGAACCTTTTTTTGTTGTTTGTTTTGTTTGTTTTTGTTTGTTTTCCTGATGCGGTTACTTCGACATCTCAACGTCAGCAGATCGTTTTTAACAAAGATTCGGATATAAAAATACAAATATGAGGAGTTTCTGTTTAAAAAGAAGCGTGCCGGAGTGGTGGGGCTGACCCTCGGCCCCCGGGCCGGCCGCCCGGGCCACCAAGCTCATGCAAAAAACGATGGAGCAAAAAATGTCTCTGGACAGCAGCGCTCCCCCCGTGCTCGTGGGGCTGGGTCGCCCCGGGATTCGGGGACCCTCCGCCAAGGAGGATGGGGGGGATGTGCCGAGGAGCAGGGGGCTGGACCCCTTCCCCGGGGAGGGGGGTCCTCGCCCAGGGTGGGGGGCTCGGTGGGTTGTCCCAGCCCCGGGGGGAGGCGGAGGGGTAAAGTGCATGGCTCGGGGGGGGGTGGTGGTGGCTGCAGGGCCCCCCCCCGGGCCGGGGAGGGGGGCAGCGGGCATGGCCTCCCCCTCCTCATCGGCGGTCCAGCCAGCATGCGGGGCGGCGGGCTGGAGCGGGGCTCGGCCGGCGGGTCCTGGCGGCGGGTCCCGGCTTACACCCCCGGCGGCGACTTCTCCGTCATGCCCTTGAGCACCTCGTCTATCCGGTCATCCTCGATCACCACTGCGGGGACAGGCGGGGGGCGCGTGGGCGAGGGGACGAGTCAGCCTCTGCTCTCCCCCCCCCCCCCCCCCCGGCTCCATGTGTGCCCCCCAGATGCTGGGAAGTGGGGCAAAGGGGGTTCAGGTGGGTGCAATGAGGGTGAAGGAGAGGGGATCACCCTCCCCCCACCCGGCTTGGTTAGGGGCAGCATCCCTCCCTGCAGCCAGCCGGCTGCCTCTGGATGGGTGGTTAGGGAAGTGGGGGGGCAGGAATAGACCAGGAAGGACCCCCCCCTCCTCTCTGCGGCAGGCGCTGATGAGAGCAACAGGACTGGAATGGGTAATGACCCAGCGGGGGGGGCACTGCCTGCTCGGCGGGGGTGGCAGCCAGACCCCCGTCAGCATCACCCGCTGCACAGGACACCCACCCCCACCACCGGCATCACAGGTGGGGGAGCCGGACAGCCCCCCCACCAGTACGGCGGGCTGCACGGACCCCCACCATCAGCATCACCATGGGAGGCTGAACAGCCCCCCCCATCATTGCCACCTTCCAGAGAGCCCCCTCTCGGCATCACCCACTGGGCACCCCCCTTCCCCCGCATCAGCATCACCGGTGGGAGGCTGGACAGACCCCCATCAGCATCACCATCAGGGGGCTACACGCGCGCGCACACACACACACACACACACACACACACACACACACACACTCACACACTCTCCGACATGACGGGCTCGGCAGGTGCCTCCCATCACCATCACCCTGGGGGGTGGAGGACAGACCCCCCCCTTACCCCAACATCACTACCGGTCCGTAACCCCTCATCACCACCCTGGGGGGAGATTGACCAGACCCCCCCCACCTGTCACCAGCATCACTGGGGGAGCATCCAGACCACGGAGGGAGAACCATCCCCCCCCTCCATCCCTGGAGGGGACTGCTAGACCCAGCCTCCACCACCGCAAAGGGGGGCAGTGGAGCAGCCAGTGGCTCTCCCCTCTGCGGGGCTGGGGTGTATTTGTGCTGGGGCGGGGGGGCTCTTCCCCCCCCCCTTGCCTCTGCAGCTCAAGGAGGGGTGTTTGCCTATGGAGGTCCCCCAAGCAGGCAGGATGGGGGGCTGCAGGAAAAGTGGGGGCCATTCTTGAGGGTCCACAAAGCATCAGGGAGGATCAACAGTGACAGATCAGGGTGCACGGGGAGGGGGGGCATTTATTTGTGTCCTGATGGAAGCAAGGGAGATACTGATGGGGGTCTCCGCAGCAGGCAGTAAAGTGGGGAGGGCAGGACACGGGTTCATGGAGTCCCGGGGGGACAGTAAAGCGGGGGGGGTGTGGGGGTGAGTGTTTGTTGATCAGCATTACCGGAGACTGTTGATGGGGTCTCTGCGGCAGGCAGGCAGAAATGTGGAGGGAGAGAGGTTTAGGGGGCCAGGGGGGCTGTTCCTGCTGATGATGGGGGGAGAGCAGGGGCTTGTTTATAGGGAATGAGAGGGGGGCAGTCCCAGGGGTACTGAGGAGAAGTTCCGGGGGGTCCCGGGGGCACTGGGGGGGCAGCCCCAGGGATGACTGGGGACAGTCCCAGGGGCAGCTCCAGGGATGCTGCAGGGTAATCCCGGGGGGAGTACCGAGACGGGGGGGGGAGGTTGTGGGGCAGCGCTGGGGGGGACAGTGCTGGTGTCTGGAGCAGGGGGTGGGGGGGCCTGTGGTTTTGGGGCAGTGCCTGCCATCAATCGCAGAGCTGGGGGGTCTCAGGGTTGCCGGGGGGCAGTGCTAGAGTTGATGTAGGGCAGAGATGGAGATTCTGGGGATGTGGGGGGCAGTGCTGGGGATACTGGGGAAGCAGTGTTGGGGATGCTGTGGGGCAGTGCCAGGGGTGGCAGGGGACAGCGCTGGGGATGCAAGGCAGAGCTGGGAGTTGCAGGGATGCTGTGGGGCAGTTCCGGGGATGTAAGAGCCGGCATCGGGGTACCGGAGATGCCGTGGGGCAGTGCTGGAGATGTTGCAGGGCAGAGACTGGGGATGCCGTGGGGAAGAACCAGGGCAGAATCGGGGGTCCTGGGGATGTTGTGGGACAATGTCGAGGGGTGCCAGGGATGTATTGCCCAGTGCCGGGAACGCTTGGGATGCAAGGGCAGAATCGCGGATCCTGGGGGTGCTGTGGGGCAGCGCTGGGGATGCAAGGGCCAGTGCCGGGGGGCAGCGCCGGGTGTGCTGGGGCAGAGCCAGAGATGCTGCAGGGCAGAGCCGGGGATTCCAAGGCAGAGCCGGGGATCCAAGGACAGATCCGGGGATGCCGTGGGGCAGCGTCGGGGATGCAGGAGGCAGCGCCGGGGATGCCGGGGATGCTGCAGAGCAGATGCAGGGGTCCCGGGGATGCCATAGGGCAGCGCCGGAGATGCAAGAGTCAGCACCAGGGATGAAAGGACAGATCCGGGGGGCTCGGGGATACCGTGGGGGAGCGCCGGGGAGGCAGGAGGCAGCGCCGGGGATGCCAGGGATGCTGCAGGGCAAATCCGGGGGTCCCAGGACAAAGCCGGGGATGCTGCAGGGCAAATCCGGGGTCCCGGGGATGCCGTGGGGCTGAGGCGGGGGTCGGGAGGGCAGAGGCGGGGGTCGGGCGGTACCTCTTTTGGCGCGGCCGATCTGTCCCAGCTTGGGGGGCCGCTTGCCCTGATTGCCCGCGAAGAAGGCGTTGGTGTCCTGCAGGCGGCAGCTGAAGGGCAGCTCCCCCGCCTCGGGCTCGGCGCCGTAGCGGCCCACCTTGTCCTCGCCGTAGGGAAGCACCTGCGACATGGCGGGGCCGAGCGGGCCGAGCCGCGCCGCGCCGAGCCGGGAGCCGGTCTGCGGCGGCGGCGGCGGCGGCGGGGAGGAAACCCGGGCGGAAGGATGAAGTCATGCATCCGGGGGGAGCGGGGACCCCCCCGGCGGGGGGCGGCTCCGGAGCGCCGCGGCCCGGCCCGGCCCGGCCAGGACAGAGTCGAGGGACCCCCTCGGTCGGTGCCCGATGCCCGCCCGGTTGGGATGGGGACCCTCCCAGCCCGCCTTCCCAGCCCCTGCCCCGGCCCCAGCGCAGGGTGGTCCCCCGGGCACAGCCCGGCTGAGGCGGTCGACCTGACTCAGGCATGCCCTCAACCACGGGGTGCTCCTGTGGAGAGGGGAGCCCTTGGCACGGGCGGGTGCCCCCGGGTCAAGCAGCTGAGGACCACCAGATACAGCTGGCGCATAAAGGTGATGCCAAAAAGATCCCCTAACGCCCTTCTCCAATCCACCAGCTCTCCGCAGCCCAGAAGGCTCAATCCCTCAGAATCCCACCCCAGGTCTCCCCAGCCAGGCTGTCCCCAGCCCATTACTTGTGTCTCTTGGCCTACTCCCGTCCAGGCACCCTCTCCTGCAGGCTCCCTGTGTTGGAGTCCCCCTTTGGAGCCACACCGGTCCTGCCTCAACCCCTACCAGTCCCCTTAACTCCCTACATGTGAGTCTCTGCACATGTGTGTGCACGTTTGTTCACATCTTCCCGTTATATGCTTTTGCAGGAAGGCAGGGGCACACAGGTGTGATTCTGCAGGAGTGTGTAAGTGTGGCCACGTGGGGACTGTGCCCCAGAATGCTCCTTGTTACACGGCTTGGCCCTTCCCCCTGGGCTTTCTGTGGACAAGGGGAAGGGCCATCCCCTGTGGGGACCTGCCATGGGTCAGCAAGACCCCATTATCCCAGCAGAGCCATGTTCGCATCCCTTCTATACACCTCTGTCCCAGACCCACCCTAACTCTATCCTTCTGCATTTTTCACTGCCAGGGTAGTGATTTTACCAATTGGC